AGATGGTTGAAAACCAGAGATAAAGAGAAAATCATGAAAGCAAGGGGAACAAAGAACAACAGTACATCACACTGAAGGGAACACAATTCAAGTTCATGGAAAATCTTTAAAAATATTTGTAAATTGGAAAGGTGGGAAAATTAAGAAAGAATATCCTTATTATAAAGTTGCAAAGTACTTGGCTGAATTATGTTCCTGTTCACATGGCAGAATTTATGAGCCGTGTACTAGGATATCTGACTAAAGAAATATATCAGTAGCAAAGCCTTGATGGAGCTGCACGATTTCTCCCAATAGCATATAGCAGAATTCAATGAGAAAGAAATGATTGAAAGATATAATTCATAATTAAAAGGAAAACAGGCTGAGTGTAGTGGCTCATGGCTGTACTACCAGAACACTGGGAGGCTGAGGCAGAAGATTTGCTTGAGCCCATGAGTTCAAGACCAGCCTGGGCAACCTGGCAAGACCTTTTCTCAGTCCCCCGTGCCCCCCACCAAAACAAAACAAAACACAACACAACACAACAAAAATTATCCAGGTGTGATGGTATACCCCTATGGTCCTAGCTACTCAGGAGGCTGAGACGGGAGGATTGCTTGAGCCCAGGTGGTCCAGGCTGCATTGAGCCATATTCGTGCCACTGCACTGGAGTGAGAACCTGTCTCACTAAAAAAATAAAATAAAATAAATCATAATAATAAAATCAGATATTAAAAAATTGGAGCATCCCCAGTCCAGCCATGTTGAGAATAAAAATATGTTTGGGAGAAAATACAAAGGGTATGTCAAGCAACTCTTTGATGAGATTAGTAGAAGTAGAAGAAAGCATGGTGCTGCATACCAAGATAATGGGAGAAAAATGGTGAAGGCATTTCAGATATCTTTGAGGCTGTCCTTACTATCACAAGCTAAGAGTTCTAGAGCCTTGAGGGCAGACTGGCTTCAGGGGACAATCATGGGGAGCCAATGGGGCCTCAGGCCTTGCTGCTTTGGCCACTCCAGTTATGGTTCAAGTAAACCCAGGTATGGCTTCACCTGCTACTCCAGAAGGTATTTGCTGTATATCTTGGCAGCATCTACCTGGTGCTAATTTTTAGGTGCACAGTACAAGAGTTGTAGAGGCATGGCTACCACCATCTAGATTTTGAAGTATCTACTAAATAGACTGGAGGCCCAGACAGAAAACTGCAGTAGGAGTGTAGTCATCCCAAAGAGTCTCCACTGAGGCAATACCTACTGAAGCCACGGGCGTGGAGCCAGCTCCAAACCCCAGAACCATGGAGCTACCAGAGAGCAAAGCCAATGAGGGAAAGCCACAGGCATTCTACTCTAATATGCAAAACCAGCTATGTGGGCTGCAGTCAGCAAAGCTATGAGAGTCAGGCCGCCCAGGACCTCAAAGGCTCAGCCCCTACCACAGTGTGTCCCAGAGGTGAGACATAGAGTCAAAAAAAGTTGTTCTGAAGCCTTAATACTATCAAACAACACGTTTCCTGTTGTTTGCCCAGTTTGATTTTAGACTTACATTGAGTCTGTTTCTTACTTCTTCCTTCTTGCCTATGAGAATATCTATCCCACCACTGTATTTTGGAAGCATACAACTTATTTGATTTACAGGCTCACAGCTAAAGGGGATTTACTTCAGGATAAATTTTGCCTTGAGTCTCACCCATATCTACTTTAGATGAGACTCTGGACTTTGAAGTTATGAATTGGTGCTGGAACAAGTAAAGACTTTTAGGGATGAAATGAATCTATCTTGTATGTGAAAAGGACATGAGTTTCAGGGGGCCAGGTACAGAATGCTATGTATGGTTTGACTGTTTTTCCCCTCCAAAATTCATGTTGAGATCTGATTGCCGTTGTCACAATACTAAGAGGTGTGGCTTGTAAGATGTCACTAGGCCAAGAGGGCTCCAGCCTAATGGATAGGTTTAATGCCTTAATGAAAGTGTCGTCAGGAGGTCAGCTCTCTCTTTTGCCCCACTGTCTTCTGCCGTGGAATGATGAAACAAGAAGTCTCTCTCCAGATGCCAGCCCCTCAGTCTTGAACTTCCCAGTGTCCAGAACTATGAGAAAATGAATTTCTGTTCATTGTAAATTACCCACTCTCAGGTATTCTGAGCACAAAACAGACTAAGGTACAGACTCTCAGGTATTCAGCACAAAACAAACTAAGGCAGATGCTTATCCATCTATTCATCCCACATTTATTCATTAAGTTAATGTTGACTATTTCCTAGGGACATTTTAGTTAATAAAATTTTATTAACTAAATAAATTTTATATATTAAAATATGTAAAATTTTATATATATAAAATAATAAGATTTTATTAACATAACTTTCATATGTACCTCGTTTTGCTTTTTGCTTAGAGTACAGGTAGAAACTGTAAAGCATACTTCCAATTACCCTTTAAAAGCGTGTATTGTGTTTATAAAGTAACTTAGAGCTTCTCTCCTCCCCTCAAATAAGCACTCAGTTACTTGAGAAAATCAAAGGCCAAAAGAAACAAGATCTTCAATTTAAAATTTCAGACTATTTACCCCAACATTTCTGAAGCAGTTTAAAAAATACATATTTTTAAAACACGTGTCAAAATTTAAGTATTTGATATTTTTACCTACTTAGCTTTTTATAAGTCCCTTTTATTGGTGCTGTTTAGCATATGATAGGATAATACTGTTTGCTCTAGTTCATAGATTAAAAGACGAAAATATTATTATCTAGAAATTAAAAATACACTTGTATTCTTTTTCTCCAGGCTATTAGCCCAGTGAAGGAAAGGAAGAATACCATTAGAACAATACATAACAGGGTCTTTTGTCACCCTGGAAGAAATGAAATAGGCCTTATCCAAATAAGAAAGAGCTATGAAAGAGATCTTACAAAGTGAAAGTAAACCTTGGAGATTGAATCGTCCTCAGGAAGAAATCTACTGCTGCAAATTTTAGTTAGCACAGTGAATATGGGTGACATTTTTCCAAATGAAACCTTATTGATTAAGGACACGAGAGGGAAGGCGTTTATCCATTTTTTAAAAATGTCCTGGTCCAGTGTGCTGGGTGAAATGGTTCACCAAATCAGAATAAACCAGAACAGAGAACAGGTGACCTAGAAAGAGTGCTGCTGCTAACTCAGACCAGTGGTTTTCAAACCTTTTTATAAATTAGAGGCTTCTTTCTTTCAAGAAAACCTTATCCCTAAAACCCAAAATATAAAAATATTGGAACAAAAATAATAATAAAAAACAGAGAGTCTTTATTGGTGCCGAGATAGAGTAATTGGAGGTCTCAAGGGGTCAAATGCTTGAAAATTCATTAGAAAACCAAGCCCTTTGGGGCTCAGTTTGCAAGATGCTCATGTGGTTCAATCCTCTTACTCTGTTCGGGGAGAAGCAACGAGCTTACGCGACACCACCCACAGTCATGCAGCCGGTGACTGGTGAACTAGGGTGTCTCAGCTGTGAACTAGGTTTCCTGAACTTTCCATCTCATGTATTTCCACTACCTCTTATTTTATCCTATCTCTCCAGAATAGACAGGTGTTGTAAGAAAACATTCAACTGATATACCCACATTTACCTTCACAAATTCAAATTCCATTTATAGCAAGAAAAATAATCAAGAATAAATATTTTCCTTATCTTTTATAGGAGGAAAGCATTGTTAAACCAATAATGTATTTATTGGAAGGAATGATCCATAGCAAGGTCAGAGCAAAATAATTGTAATACAGACTTTTTTTCTGGGTTGTTCACCATCATCGGGGCTAGTTTATGCTAATAGTGCAGTTGATTAAAATATTGAGATAATCATAGGTTTGATGTTTGTGTGGGTTGCATTGCATGCTCCTCATTGGCCTTTAATTAAAGGGGCTATTATCTTTTAGATACTAAAAGTTGGATTGGTGTCTTAAATATTGAAAGCCTGTTGAAAGCAGATGCTGTAATTATGATGGCTGTTTTCAACTTTACATATAAAGTATTTATAGAGTACCCTATTGTTACCATGAACAATAAATACTTAATAAACAGTTAAATGTCATGATTCTATTTCAGTTTTTATGCATTTAAGCCCTCTATTTTCTCTTCTCTATTTTTCTGTCAATACTTTTAAAGTTGGTCATGTTAATGCCAAGCTAATGGTCAAGTTTATTCTCAGAGTTAGTATTTATAACTCTAATTACCTAAGTAGAGGAGTGGTGAGTTCTGGAGCCTGAATAATTTAAATGATTGGGGCCTAGAGGACAGCCATAGACAAAATAGCACTAATTTAGAAAATGTCAATAATAGGCATATCTTAAAATAAAAGTATTGAATTATTTATTAAAACAATATGTGTATATGCATTTGCAAAAATTATTCACTGTGCAATAAGAGAAAATGCAAGAAGTTAAAGCACACAATACAAATTTTTTATAGCTTACAAGATAGAAAAAAAAATTTTAGAAAAGACTTCCACTATTTACAAAATGTAAATATTTTGCAACAAAAAAAAGTCATGGAAATGAAAATGTATTATAACAATGCATAACTGACTCAGAAAAAATACATCAGTTCCCTGAAGCTACATGGGGTGAGTACACAAAGCTTTGTGTCCCTATAACACCAAGAGGTGCGTAAACCAGGGTGTAGCATGAAACAAACAGCTCACCGGTTTGGATTTATTTAAAAATTTACAAGCCAGTGTTTAAGAGCTATGCAAATAGAAAGTATAATTAGTCAGTGTTACATGCACATAGGGTTGGAAAGAATAAAAATGCATTCTGAAATCAGAATCTCTAGAATCACAGAATCTCCAGCCATAATGAACTTCAAATGGCATCTAATCAAATGGCCCCTGATTCTCAAATCCTTCTGATTACTTCCCAGCCTATCGAACATTTAACCTTTGTCCAAAAACCTCTAATGGTAGAATAGAACAGTTAAATCGTGGCAAGTGTAGAGTTTAATGTTTCTGTCAATAAAATGATCTAGTCTTAATTTTTTATCAGATTCATATTATATACTGTGATATTCCACCTGCACAGCAAAGAATCCCCCACTACTCACAAAAAAATATGATGCTGAGAGGTTTGAGCACAACAGATAATTATATGCAAGCAAACACATTTTTCCATGAAGCATTCTTTAAGGATGTTCCAGAGGATCTTGAAAGATCTTTAAAGAGCTATGAATTGATAGAAATATAATCTTGGATTTATTTTTTAATTATTTACTAGTTAATACAATTACTGCTTTTAATGTAGAACAACTTTTAACTGATCCTACTTTGTTGTAGACTTGCATAAAAAGGAGACAATCTAATGAAATATCTGAAAGCAAAACAAAGAGAATAATAATAGTTTGAGGTCTGAATTACATTCTCTTGCCTTTTGATATGCATTGTTAAATTTCCTATAAGATATCCTAATATATTTATTTAGAATTTACAATTCTACATAAATATTAACTTTCTTAATGTGATTTTACTTTTAAGAATCTGTCAACTTAAATTCATGACTACTGAAGAATCACTTTATCTTTATATATCTGAAGACATGAAAGTCTTATTTACTAAGGAATAATGGGATCAAAAATTCTTCAAGCCACTCCACTTAAGTCATTATTTTCCATGTTACTCAGAATGCATTAACTCCAGTACCAAAATGTAACCACTATGATTCTTAATGTCTTCATGACTCTCTAAACTGTGTTGTTAATCATTTTGTGATAAATCTTTTCAGAAAGCCTATGATGACCAAAGTTTATTAGAATCATCAAGACATAGAAAAAAATAATACTGTGTTGCATTAAAAATGGAAAACACCCCAAATTAACTCTTGCAGATAGTCCACTATCAGAGATGGGTAAGATAAATAATTTAGGACATTCATTTCACATTTTCAAATTAGTAATGTATATTCTACAGCTTTCTATTTACATACGGATCTATATGGGGTACTATGAAAAATACTTTTGTTAAAATACATTATCAAATTATTTACATAAAATTGACTTTAAGTCAAGTTTTGCTTATTCACAAGTATTTATTATATGTTTCACTGTGTAACCAGCTACTGTTTTTGTTAATCAGCTTTTTTGAGGTATGTGTTTTATTCACTAAAATAAGCTCATTTTTAGTGTGTAGTTCAGTGAATTTTGATAGATGTATACACTTGCATAACTACTACTACAATCAAGTACAACTAATTTCATCACTACAAAATACATTTTACCTACACCCTCTGCTCCAGGCAATCATTGATTTACATTCTGTTGTATGTTACTCTCGTCTATTCTAGAATTTCATACAAATAAAATTATTCAATTGGTGTTATTTTATATATAGCCTTTTTAAAATTTTTCTCTTGCCAAGCATAGTATTTTTTAGATTAATCCACGGTTTTGCATTTCAGAAGCTCATTTCTTTCTATTGCTGAGTACTCCTATCCTATGGCTTCTCTAATCTATCCAGCAAATCATAAATGCCATGGTAGGCCTCAATGTTAGGTTTTTGGATCATACCAAGCATTCTGTTTGGTCTCTCCATATCTGATTCTGCTCCTAGTCTGGGAATAAGCTTCAGATCTTATGTGTGAAAAAGAAAGAGATAAGAACCTCCAAAATTATCTGGCACCAAGATATAACTTGAATAAAAACATAGTCAAGCCTTTTCAATCCAATTAATAACCTCTTTGTGTCATAACTCTTGTAATATATTATATTATTTAAAACAACTTAATGTTAAAAACTGAAAACTAATATCTATTAGGAAATGATGGGTAGATGAGGAATTAGAAAAGAGGATCTAATTATTTTACCACAAAACATTAGAAATTCAAAACAATTTTTAATAGAAAGACCCAACTTCATTAACAAATGCCCAGGAATTGTTTTGGAGACTCTTTCTTTTTAACTTAAGTGTTCTATACTCTTCAAAATCAAAATAAATGCTATTTTTAAATCTTCTGTGCTAAATGCACAAAAGGGGAACATGCCTATTTCTTTTTATTTTCTATTGGAAAATATCCCATCAAAGAAAGTTGTTTCTCACAGAGAAAATATAAAGTAAGAAATACAAATTAATGCATTTCTTTAAAATTCTATATTATCTACATTAATTTTAAGAATTGTATAAATTATTCAACAGAAGAATTCACAAAGAAAGCATTTGTGTTTTAGACTCTGTTTCATACTCAGAGTATAATATTGACTAAAAAATAAAATATAAAATGTTTTAAAATTACATTACCAAGATCCAATCTCTGTAGTTAAAAAAAAATTAAATCAACAATGGAGGCCCATGAATATGTCTGACCTTTTGAAAATGTAAGCAAAATTATTTAAGAACAAAAGATTCCACTACGGCAGATTAATAAGAATGTTGGTTTCCAATCTCGCAGATTCTGCTCCTTATGACCCCATGCACACCCCATCCCTCCTATGCTCCAAAACATCATCACAAAGACTCTTTCTGCCCCTTGTAAATTTGGCATAAGTTGAGACAAAGAAAAGAAGGAAAAATTTTTACAGTTATTTTTATTCCTTTTGCCTATTACATGAAAAATAGTCAATGGCCAAGCAGAGACTATCAATAACAAACAAAAGAAAACAAACTATGAAACAAAAACAATAAACCACCCAGAACAAAGCAGAATGATCCAAACTGAATGGACATGATGTTAAAGGACTGTTAAAGGAATGTCTATGATCGATTGAAATTTGATTTTAATTTTCCTAATTGTCAAATACCTAAAAATTATAATGCCACAGGAATTAAAATGCATGTAAACTAAATCTAAAATGTGCATCTGAAAACCAGTTCCATCACTTCCTAATTATGTAACTTCAAATTAGTTTGATCCTTTTGTGACATAGTATTTTCATTCTAAAATGAGGGTAAAAATAACCTACATTACAGGGTTGTTTGAGAATAATATATGAAAAGATCTTAGGAAAGTACCTGATTGAGACTGCATACCAGTGCATACATTTTAGCTATATTATTTTTAAAACATAAACTTAGAACTCTATTAATAACATTCTAAGAATTGTCAAATGTTGACTTTTAATATGTTTTTAGAGTTTGGAAATAAATGTATTCGTCTCTTTTAATTTCTTCCTTAATAAATAAACATATTTCTTACATCTCTAAATTGTAATTTTATTAAAAACACATTACTTTAAATTTGTATTTTTTAAAAAATAAATACATTTCATAAAATTTGGAAAATGGAGAAAAATATGATCATCTTATATTCTAATTAAGATAGTGGGAGAGAGAAAGGCCATGTTCTCTTGCAGAGTATGACAGGAGCTAATTTTCCTGGCACAGTATTCCCGCTTCTTAGGGGGTGTCTCTAGCTAACAAGAGTGCTGCCCATTTCTTTAGGTTGAGTGAAGGAAGATATAAAGAAAAACCAAATAGAACTTCTAGAAATAGAAAAATACTGTCTCTAATAATAAAAATTAATTAAATTGATTAAACAGCAGGTTAGACATCGCTAAGTAGAGTGAGCGTACTTGGAGGTAGAGCTGAAGAAGCTATTCAAGTTACAAAGAGATAGAGGAATACAATCTGTAAAAGTGAAGTTAATAAAAACGGAGAATAGAATAGAATAGTAGGATAAAATTGGAGTGTCCAAGAAATGTCCTAGAAAAAAGAATAGATGAAGGATGTTATTTGAAGATATAATGGCTCAAAACTTGCTAGAATTTATGAAAAATAAAAATCTTTAGATCCAAACGTCAGGCAAATCCAAAACAATATTAAAATATATGTGTTGAAAGATAAATTATATAGCTACATATACATTATAAATATATGAATTCATCTGTGTATACAACTATATTACATATGATACATTGCATTTCACAGAATGTATCTTATATAAAAAAGAGATCAGAATCAAACTACATAATTTCAAAGATAATATCTCTGTGAAAGAAAAGAAGATTACCCAAAAGAACATAAAATAATTATCATGAACAAAGACACGCAAAGTTACCTCAGGAAAATGAAAACTGAGTAAGTACCCAGAAAAATTTCACTAACATATCTTTCAAGGATAAACCATGGGAAAAAGAAATCTGAACCCAAAGAAGACACTGAGATTCAAGAGGTAATGTCAGTCAAAGTAATTAGTAAATCTATGGGTAAATTTCCTCAAGCATTGTTATGTTATAATAATAATAAATAAAGTTGAAGAATTATAACAGAAATAAAATATGGATAATATTGACATAAGACGCATCTGTTTGGAGTTAACATGCTTAGGGTTTTTGTATTGTTTTGTAGGATAGTAGAGGTATTAATTAGTTTATACATTTTAAGTTACACATTTAATTTTAAGTTCAGGGAACAAAAAATCCAGTATATTATTTCCAAACCAATAGAGAAAATATATAGTATTACAATAGTCATTAATTTAAAAGAAAGGGGAAGGAAAAGAACGAACAAACATCAACAAAACAGGACAAATACAAAATAAAATGATTTAAATAAGTCTAAATATATCAGTAATTAACAGAAATTAAATAGACATGTTCATTCCTCTTATATTTGAGAGTAGAGAACAATGTGTAAAATTTTTTTTTATTGCATTATAGGTTTTGGGGTACATGTGATGAACATGCAAGATTGTTGCATAGGTACACACATGGCAGTGTGGTTTGCTGCCTTCCGTCCCCTCACCTGTATCTGTCATTTCTCCCCATGCTATCTCTTCCCACCTCCCCACCCCCGCCCCTCCCCCATTTCCCCCCAACGGACCCCAGTGTGTAGTGCTCCCCTCCCTGTGTCCATGTGTTCTCATTGTTCAACACCCATCTATGAGTGAGAATATACAGTGTTTGATTTTCGAGAACAGTGTGTAAAATTTTATATTACTGATGGCATTTTTGAAATGCTATATACTTTGGAAGAAGGCAGTAATTTGACAAAACAATTTGACAACCATTAAGTAGTTTATTTGATAGAAAGACCCTAAAACACAGAGAAAGGCATAAATACAATGCATTACTTAAATTTTGAAAGAGGGAGGAAGGAAGGAAGGAGTGAGTGAGGGAGGGAGGGAGGGAGGAAGGCAGGCAAAATTATAGTAAAGATAATAGAGCTAAAAGAAATTTTAGAGATGATATGGCCCACTCCTTTTTGAAGAAAACTAAGCCCTTGGAGGGAGCGCTCAAATTTTACCTAGAAAGTTAGTTATAAAACAGAGTTATATGGTTTTGTTTTGTGTCCTCACTCAAATCTCATTTCGAATTATAATCCCCACATGTTGAGGGAGGAGCCTGGCTGGAGGTGCTTTATATCATGGGGGCAGTTTCCCCAAGCTATTCTTGTGATAGTGAGGGAGTTCACAAGACCTGATGGTTTAAAAGTGACACTTTCCCCAAGCTCGCTCGCTCTCTTACCGACGTGTGAAGAAGGTACTTGCTTCTCTTTGCCTTCTGCCATGATTGTAAGTTTTCTGAGATCTCCCCAACCATGTAGAACTGTGGGTCAGTTAAACCTCTTTTCTTTAAAAATTACCCAGTCTCAGGTAGTATCTCTAAAGCAGTGTGAAAACAAACTAACACACTGGGAATATATTTTTTTAAAAAATCAAGATTCTGTATCCTCTCTCCAGTGAGTGAAATGACACCTACAAAGTGCTTAGCAGAGTAGCTAGCTTATAGTCCTGGAAATAACCTTTTTTTTTTTTCTACTGTGTTCTACACAATTCATTTTCTAGTATATGTTAAGACATAGAAGGAAATCTACAAAACCTCCATTATACACTCTGAGGTTACAGAGATGAATGAAAACATGGTCTTTTTCCTCCGAAGAGTAATTATAATGGAAAACATTTATTGCACATTTACTGCCTGAAAGGTTCTCTGACAAAGTTTGCATACATCACACATCATTTAATTCTAAAAGCATTTCTATGCAACATGTATTATTAGCATTGCTTTTTTATCAAAGTGAGGAAATAAAGACTTAGGGAGATTATATAGCCTCATAGCTAGTTAGTGGAAAAGCTACGATTCAGTGGATTCTGGTCTTGAGAATATTAAATATTAATGTTTAACATCTAAGATAATGCATTATTAATTCGATATCCATGAATCATCATTTACAGTGAAGACATATGACCTAAAAT